GGAGTGTGTTGGGGGGTTAGAGTCGGCTCTCCCATGCAATCTGTGTCTGTAGGAGGCAGTTGGGGGTTTTGGAGGGTCAGTGTCGGCTTTCCCATGCAGTCTGTATCTACAGGGAGACAGTTGGGGGTGTTTTGGGGGGTCAGTCTTCTCTCCCATGCACTCCTGCTTGTGTCTCCAGGTGGTCCTGGACTGTCCGTCCGATTCCTGCTTCGACTACATTTACCAGTACGAGCCGTACCTGCGCGACCCTGTCGCCTACCCCAAAGTGCAGGTGAGCACGGAGCCTGCAGGCAGGTCCTTGGGGGCTGTCCAAAGGCAGGGTGAACGGAGGGGCCGGTACCCCCTCTTCCAGGCGGGGAATACCCCCTCCCCAGGGAATGAGGGGGCGTCTGGGATGTCAGAGCACAGATTCGTGTACCTGCTTCCCTTCTGGGAGGGTGTCGCTTAATTATTTGAACTGCCTGGGAACTTTGGGGCTGCCTGGAGCCAGGAGCGTCCAGGGTCCTGCTCTGTTCCTGGACGCGCGTCCATATTTCTGCCGGTCCCTGCCCTGTGCTCAGCCCTGCCCCCGCCCGCTCTGACCTCTCCCCGCTTGCTCCCAGATGCTGGTCTACATGTTCTACGTCCTCCCCTTCTTTGGCCTGGGCGTGTATGGGTGGCTGCCCGACTGGGCCCTGGTGTGCGCCGGAGCCGTCGCGCAGGTAAGGACGGGCCCAGCCCCTGGGGAGCAGCAACACAGGGGCCGTTATCGGTCGCCACAGGAGAACAGGCCGGGGGGGCTTCGTTGCACTGAGGCGCCTCCCGTGCCCCGGCACACGGCCCCGGACGAGTGTGGTCTGACCCCTCATGATTCCCCCGTCCCCGGGTTTGCACGTGGAGCCGTTTCTATGGCGACGAGCAGAGCCCGATCATTGCTGTCTCCTGGGATGTTAGTGGCGGAGATGGAGGAGTCTCTCTGAAATGGATTTGAGCCAGCGCCCCGTGGAGCCATCGATAGGGCCCCTGGGAACGGGCAGGCCTGCGCTCGGCGTGGTCACCCCACAGCCCCTTGGCCCAACAGGGATTCCTCCGGCCATAAACACCACTGAGTGCCTGGCTGGGCACCGCTGTCTTCCCAAGGCAATTCCTTCCTGACCCCAGCTGCTGCTGCACTCACACACCCTGGAGCATGCGGATGGGGCTTCGCCCGGCTAGTCCCCCGCTCTTTCCCCTGCCGTCTTGTGACACCTGGACGACGGGGGCGGAGCACTGGGGCCAAACGCGAAAGGAGATCCATCCATTCGTTGCTCTGCCCGGAGGATGGCCCCCTGGCCCCGTTGTTCGCGGCGCAGCAGTGTGAGAGGCCAGCCCCGTGG